TAGCACTGCAAGTCGGCGACCTGCTGGCGCTGCACCAAGGCGGATTGCCAACGCCGCATCATGGCGGTTTGCCAGCGCTGCAACCATGGGTGACAGTAGCGCATGTGCACACCGACTTCGCAGGTGCGTCGTCGTGCACCGCCCCGGACATTGCACAGGTGCCAGGTCGGCCACGTGCCGATGGTTGCGCCTGAAGAGCCACGTCGACCTCGAGATACCAGCCCAAGGTCTGCTTAGCAGAAATGAAGTCTCCTGCCTCGGGATTTCCACGCATCCTTGCAGGACTTCGCCGCCCTCCTGTTTACGCCGTCGACCAGGTACTCCCTTTCGGTCGGGTAATGCCCTCGGCTCACCTAAAGTCGGCGCCGACCTGACGAGCTGTAGGAGCCCGGAAGTTGATATACGTGCTCGTCGACCGTCCAGGTCGACACCACCTGCCGACTTAACTAAGTCGGCATGCCCGCAGGTCGACGAAACACCTCGTCGACCATACCAGTCGACGTCGGCCGCCAACCTCCCTCATCGGCGGCTTGAAGGTGGTCCCCGTAGAAGTCGGCCAACCCGTCGACTTCCTCGCCGAAGTCGACGTCGACCTCTGCAGGCAGTCAGCTGCACCTTCCGTGCACCTGACTGCGAATCTGACGTCGCCCAAGCGAGGGTGGGGCCACATTCATGTCATCACTTTCCTGCCCAGCTCACACTTGGGCACCCACATGGTAGGTCCCCCATATCCCAAGGGATATAGTACACGGAGAAAGATCGTCGGCGTGCACCCAACACACAGCACGCCGGTCACCGCACCAGCCGTGGAGAAGGTCACGTCACCTACTGTTGCTCGTCGTCGTCACCGTCGCCAACGTCGGCAGACGCACTTGGCCAATTGCGACGGAGCACCAGTTGAAGGCCAGAAAGTGCAGATACTTCGTCAGGAAGTCGGCCGGCTGCTCGATGGTTGGGATGTAATTCACGGCAATCTTCCTGAGCTTCACCATCTACTACAGCCAGGCATAGCATCGCTCCATGTGCTTGAGGTTGCCCTTTAGCCCCAAGCCCTCAACGACCGCGATGGCCAACTGGTTGTCCACCCGGAGGACGGTCGGCGTCCCAACTTCGAGCAGCTGAAACTCGGCGAGGAGGAAGCGAAAACGACGTGCCTCCTTGTCGGCTTCGGTGGCCGCCCTATACCCTGACTTTGTCGATGACAGTGTCACAAACTCGATGCGCTGACTCGTCCAGACCCAGAATACGGCGGCTCCACAAATGACGAAGATGTAGCCACTCGTGCTACTTCGGTTCTGCTTGTTGCCGGCGTCGTCTGCGTCCACGTAGCTGACCAAGCACAGCGAATTAGGTCCGCTGCCAAACTCCATGGCGGCGTAACGGGTATCGGCGAGGTAGACGAGGCAGCGATCGACCTCATGCCAGTGCTGATCGCTCCTCACCGTCAGGCCGCTCCCCAGCTTGCTGCACGCGAGGGCGATGTTCGGCCTCGTCGTGGTCGACGCGAACTGCAGCGAGTCGACCTTCTGCCAGTATTCCTCCTTCTCGCGCGATTGGACCTCTTCGTCGTCGAACGTCAGCTTAGCATAGGCGTCGACGGAGACCGGTGTCTTCGAGATGCGTCCATTCTGCTCCTCGTCAACAAAACGGCTGCGTAGCTTGTCAACGTAGGTCTGCTAATGGAGCCACAGCTTCCTCGCCGTTCTGTCGCGCACGATCTCCAGCCCGAGATACTTCTCTCTTGGGCTAATCTCGCGCAACTCAAAGGCGACCTCCAGCCGCTCCTTCAACTCCTTCAGCATCGCGGTGCTGCTGCTCCCAGCGAGCAGGTCGTCGACGTAGACCAGCACCTAGCAGGTCACTCCATCGCCGCCGACCTTAAAGTAGAGAGCCTCGTCGACCTTTCTCTTCTTCCAGTCGGCGTCGGTAAGCACCGCGCCGAGCGCTGAGTACCACAACAACGGCAATTGCTTCAGGCCGTACAAGCTCTTCAGCAGCTTGCGCACGCGGCCGGTCCCGTCGTCGTATTAGTCGGGCTGTACATGTAGAGCATGCGGTCGAGCTTGCTCTACAGGAAGGCATTCTTCATGTCGAGCTGCATCAGGTGTAGGTCGAGGACGGCGACGATGCTGAGGAAGATCCGCAGCGTGACGTAGCTCCCGACCGGCGTGTACGTCTCGTCATAGGCGGGCGACCGTGTCATCGACGTGATACTTCGTCATCAGCACCCACCGGTTCTTCATCACGTTGACACCGCGCAGACGCTTGATGGGCTCCCACGTGTTTTTGGTGATGAGGCTCCGAAATTCTTCGTCCATGGCTGCTTTCACCGCCTTGCATTTCCAGCTTGCCAAGGCGTTCTTCACCGTTGGAGATGCCACTGGCCGGCGCCACAGGCGACGCCCCAAGGCTCCCCTCATCGCCGCTGGCCAACGCCAACGTCGGCTCAGGCAAGTCGGCGACGCGGGCTTCTGCTGCTGTGGCCATCGCTGCTGTTGCTGCTGTTGTTGTTGTTGCCACGTCAACATGGCAGTCTATGAGGGGCGGCACAGGAGGCAGGCTAGCAAGGGCAGCACAAGTGGCAATCTAGCAGGGGCAATAGTACACGCGGCAGTACGGGCAGCAGTGGGCGGCAGGACCGGTGGCTATACGTGTTGCATTACGGGTGTCAAAGGGTGGCTGAACGGGCAGCAAAGGCCGACAGATGGCGGCCAATAGTGGCTAGAGAGTGGCTAGGCCTGAAAACGGGTGGCTAAGGGCGGCTAGAAACAGCTAGGACGACAAACGGGCGGCTAAGGGTGGCTAGAGGGCGGCTAGAGCGGCAAACGGGTGGCTATGGGCGGCTAGTGGGCGTCTAGGGCGGCAAACGGGCAGCTAAGGGCGGCTAGCGGGCGACCAGGGCGGCAAATGGGCGGCCAATGGCAGCTAGAGGGCGGCTAGGGCGGCAGCCGTGTTGCTGGCTGCTGTGCCGGCAGCCATTGCTGCTGGCGGGGGTTGCTGCTGCCAGCGGTGCATTGTTGCTGCTGCTGGCGCACAGCTAGCTCGCTAGCAGCAGCTTGCTACTGCTGCTGGTACACTATACCTGCTGTTCGCACTGTCACGCTGCACGGCGCTACTGCTGCTAGCGCTGCTGGTGTCGGCGCGCGCTGCTGCTGCTGGCAGCGAGCTGGTGCAAGACTAAGGCAGCGGAGTGACAGGTCGACGGGGCGGCTAGGGGACGGGGCGCCAGGGCGTCATAGAGCGCTTTGGCCGTTTTCAGCTGGCAAAGATGGGGCCTTTGGTCGGGCGGGAGGTGGTTACGGACTGCAAGCGCGGCAGTGGCATCGCGTGCTAACCATTATGTACGAGCTATGCGATCAGCCTTATACTTCTGCTGGGCGTCTGCTGGCGCAGTAGGGGCAGGGGCAGTCGGAGTGGGCGGGGCCTGAAGGGAGCCCGACGTGTGCTCAAAGAGAGAGACATCGTCCCTAGTAACGTTGAGCAGGTACAGGTGAAGGTCCTCCAGCCAGGACTCGTACTCGATCGGGCTACCCTCGACGTCAAACGCCAGGACGGTGGGTGTCGCCATAGGGAGCAGCACGACCTAGCGACAGCGACGAAAAGGGCATTAAGAGTAGTGTGCTAGGAACGAGGGGCAGTGCTAGGTCCAGGCGGCACGGTTTGGCAGGGCGGCTCGGCAGGGTGGCTCAGCGGCGCAGCGTCTTGGTTCAGCAGAGCGGGGCGGCAGCGCGAGCGGCAGTGCGGGCAGCGCGGGTTGCAGCGCGAGGCAGCGCAGGCGGCAGTGCGGGCGGCAGTAAGGGCGGGGCAGAGCGGGCGCGCGGCAGGGCAGGGCAGCGGCGGGCAGTTGCTGGCGGCAGCGCGAGTGGCAGCACAGGGCAACGCTGGCGGCAGAGCGGCGCAGCGCAGCAGCGCGCGCGAGGCAGCGTGCGTGGGGCCGCGCTGCAGAGCAGGGTGCGCGAGGCAGCGCGCGCGCGTGGCAGCACGTGTGGGGTCGCGCGGCAGGGCAGAGCGCGCGGGGCAGCGCGGGCAGGGCAGAGCGGCGGCCGCGCAGCAGGGCAGCGCGGGCAGCGGCTAGGCAGCGGGATAGCACGCGGGGCAGGACAGGCAGCGCGACAGCGGGCTGGGCATGGCAGGGCACGGCGCGAGCGCAAGGCAGGGCAGCGCGACAGTGCGGGGCAGGGCAGGGCAGTGCGCGACAGGGCAGCGCACAGCAGGGCAGCGCGCAGCAGGGCAGCGCGCGGCAGGGCAGCGCGCAACAGGGCAGCGCGCACTAGGAGGCGCGGCGCGCGGAGCAGTGGCAGGGCAGGTCGCGGCCTGATAAGGGACAGGGCACGGCCCGCTACGGGGCGAGGCGCGACCTACCAAGGCTAAGCTACGCTAGGATCGAAATCCTGCTCTGATATCGTGTTGAACTTAGGACAACGAAATGAATTGCATTGACAGAAATCTGGTACAAGTACCTAACCCTGAAAGGGTCATACCCCTTAGAGGGTGTCCTACTACAGCCTACAAACATATATATCATTTGACAAAAGCTTCAAATAGACTCTAAAATTCAGAGTCGGACGGGGGACGACTCTGGCGAATCAGACAACTCTAAAACGAATCTGAGACCCTGCACTGGACACAAACATGCCATGGGGGCACAGGATGAAGTTTCCGAACGCCCTAAAAACTCAAGATGCTCTTACACCTCTTACCTCGAAAGCTACACACTTTTGAGAGGGTTTCTCCTGAAAAGTCAGGGTGTTTTTAAACGAATCTGAGGGTCTCCAACCTCTTTATTTTCTGTTTAAAATAATATCACAGGGGTCCTGTGTCCATAAGATAACAAGGGCAACTTGAATACAGAGCGACCACTGGATATGCATAGGCGTGCTACTTGCCGCCTGCATGGGTACCAGCATTCACCCCAGTATTTACACGAGCTCAAAGCTGGAGGAACAGACTCCGCTCCGAGCTTCACACACCAGATACACACTTGCGGCTCTCCTCTCCCCTCACGGTATGTCTCCATCTCGACTACCAGAGTCGCTGGTTGCCGTGTTACCAGTAGTAACCGCACTCCCACTGTCGTGCTCCACTGAGCCACTCTCTCCCCCTCCCCTGGTGGACAGCGTGCCCTCTGGGACAATCTCTTCAGAGTGCCCACTCGCTTGCCGGCTTCGCCCTCCACCCCCGCCAAAGTAATGCACCCATCTCTTCATGCTCTCACTCCCTAATGCCCTGCCGCTGGCACCCACAAGCCCACTCCTCCCCACCTCTGCTCCTCGTGGGCTCCCCTTCCCACCCAGCGCCCCTGCAACACCCAGAATATGAGCCGCCAGTCCCACAAACCCTGCTCCTCCTGCTCCTCCTGCGTCTCCTGCTTCCCCTCCCTGCACCCCCGGCCCGCCAGCAGCACCACCAGCGGCAGCGAGGGCAGCGGCGCCGGCAGCAGCGGCGGCGGAAGCTGCATGGAAGGTGCGACGGGCGTCCAGCATGACACGCGCCACCTCAGCCATGTCCGGGCGGCGCGTGGACGGCAGCTGCACGCAGAGGGCGGCGGTGCGCGCCATCTGCAGCAGAAAGGGCAGGTTGAGCGGCGAGGCGATGCGCGCGTCCGCTATCTCTCGGATCTCCCCGCGCTCTATGTGCGGCACCGCCTGGGGGAAGGGGGAGATGGGGAGGTGGGAGAAGAGGGAAGGGATGGCACAATAGGCTAACATCCGCGTCCGCTATCTCTCGAAAAACTCCGCGATCAATGTATGGCACCACCTGGTGAAGAGGTGGGCAAGGGGGGTGGAAAGGGGAGCATGGTTGGGTAAGCTCTGGTGGAGACATGTGGTTTAGGGTGGCATGGATTGGCAGCATGTGCCTTGACACCTTCCGGTATGCACTGGTTGGCTTGTGTCAGGCTGGGCGGCGCACAGGCACGGACAGGTGGTGGTGCTAATCTCTGCAATCATCTCACAGCCATACATTCTGCGACAGCTCATCCATGCGCTGACGTGACATGACAGCTCACCCAAGTGCTGACGTGTGTGAGAAGTGGAGCTCAGAATGATAAATTAGTAATGATCTTGCTCCTTAAGTACATCCGAAATGGGCAAGGTATGGATGGGGAAGGAATCGGGGTGAAATCCCTACGGATTGGGGGTAATCCCAAGGCAATCTCTAATTGTTGGGTTGGAGATTGCTTGGTGATCACAGTTGGGTTTGGTTGGGATGTGAGTGTACACAAAGTGCAAACTACACTAAGCTAGGATATAAAACGTACAAGTACAAAAGGTGAGACTGAGGGCTAACACCAACAACGTGGACATGCCAGCTCACCCAGGAGGTGATGTGCCTGAGGCAGCTCTGGTCGTTTGGGTCGCTCTCCGTGGCTGGCCGCCCCGTCACCATCTCGAGTAGCAACACACCGTAGCTCGTGGGTAGAGATGCAGAGAGATATGGAGAGAAGTGGAGAAATGTGGAGAGACGTGGAGAGAAGTGGAGAGAAGTGGGGATGTGGAGAGATGTGGAGAGATTGGGAGAGATGTGGAGAGATGTGGAGATGTATGGAGAGAAGTGGAGAGATGTGGAGAGGTGTGGAGAGACGTGGAGAGATGTGGAGATGTTATGGAGATAAATGGAGAGATGCAAACGAGACATGGGATGGAGGGACATGGAGGGATGTGGAGCACACAGACCCACACACACACACACATACACACACCCACACGCACACACAGACACACCTCCACACACACCCACCTACCCACCCCCCACCCACCCACCTGTACGATCACACACACCTGTACACATCGCTCGCCGTAGAGAGCTTCTCACACGTCATGTACTCGGGGTCCAGATACCCCCTCGTGCCCGCCACACGCGTGAACGTACCCACCTGCTCCGCCCCCTCCTGCAACGACCGAATCAGACCAAAGTCGGCGATTTTCACCTGCATGGCAGCAAGGGAGGTGGTGGGGAAGGTGGTCACGGGTCGAAGAGGGGATAAGAAGTGGTTGCATGTGCATGGTCTAGAGGCCTCCCCTATCAGGCACAAGTCGGCGATCTTCATCTAGAAGGGACGTTGCACGGAGGGTGGTTGGGGAATGGGAGGGGAGGGCAGGAGAATGAGACAGTGATTATGTTATGTCCGTGCTTTGTCTAGAGGACTTCGAATGGCAGCAGCTGCTCAACAGACACCGTGGTGGCGCCATGCGGTGCGATGGTGTGATGGTGAGAGGCTCTTCAGAATCTCCGGAGGTCTCAATGGGCTTCCCTGCAGCCTGGCATGACATGCTGCCAAGTGGCACTCTGTGATTGGCTTCCCCTTACCTGGTACTCCTCTGTGAGCAGCACATTGCAGGGCTTGATGTCGCGGTGCACGATGGGCTTCTCTGCATGATAATGGAGGTACTTGAGCCCCTCCGCCAGCCCCAGAGCAGCGTCCAGCCGCTCCTCGAAGGTCAGCAGGTGCCCGCGGAACTTCGCATAGAGATGGTCGCTGATGTCACCGTTGCGCACATACTCGTACACCAACACCTGCCAAGAGAGGGGGAGGAAGGGGGAAGGGTGGGGGGGTGGGTGGGAATGCGTGCATCAGGTGCCCGTCCGTCCGTGGCACTTCGCATACATGTGGTCGCACAGTGTGTGGTTGCGCCCACACCAGCACCTGCCTGCCGGGGGGGAGGGAGGGTGGGGGGTTGGTTTTACAGGAACGTGTTGTTGCTCACATGCAGCTGCGGGGGGACATGCAGTATTAGACCCACTGCCGCCCCTCAACACAAGTCTTCCATATGATGGATCTTCCCCACGCTGTCTTCCGAGTCTGCCGACCAGAGACATACCGCTCCGTTGTTCGATGCTGTAACGGACATCGGGTTGCCGTTGGATCCCATCCACTGGGAGTAATCTACGGACCAGATGCGCTGCCCTTCGTGCTCTTCCCTCTCGGTAACGCAAAGCCCCTTCTCGATGTCCCACTCCGCAAAGAACCCGTCATAGTCACCCGCGCCTATAATGCCACTAGATCCGGGAACCCACATCACAGAACTTAGTTTCGCAGCGCAGCAGAGGAACTTGGACGCTGATTGGCTTGTAGAGCTGCTACAAGAAGATGAGCTTTTGAGAATTCTCAAAAGGCATAAGGCTGCCCATGTGGTAAAGGACGGGGACGGCAGCTGTTAAGAGACAAAGAGGGAGTTCCTTAGGAGACAAGGGCGGCATTTTTTGGAAGAGAGCGGCACCTGCTCGTTGTTCTCGTTGCAATAGCCGAGGAGGCGCACGAGGTTCTTGTGGCTCAACTTGGACACCGCCTTCACCTGCCAGGCATGGTGGTATGGTGGCATGAAGGCATGGTGGGTTGGTGGCATATTGGCATGGTGGCGTGATGGCATGGTGGCATGGTGGCAGCAGAAATTCCAATAATAATGTCTGGAAACCTTGGGTGGAAACTTATTTGCGAAGTAGGGAACCATCATTTTCTTCTTGTATTTGAAGTGTACGATTTGTAATGGAAAACACATAATGAAACACACACACATATCCCTAACATAACAAATCCACAATTTCAAAAAAAGGTCGCACAAGAGAATTGATGGAATAGAAGGCTTTGATTTCCTTTGCCCCCCACAAATTATGTCAAAGTCACAAGAAGAAAAAACAAAACAAAAACAAAAAAAACACTGGTCGACATAATTTGAGCAGAAGAATACACTGCCCGGTATTTTCCCCATATGTGTGATATGTGGTTGCATGGAATGTCAATGTGGTAATTGAGTCAAAACTATGCGTGTCATCTTTTTATGCGTGCTTTGATGATGACCTATAATGATGCAATTGTATTGAAGTTATGAAGCTTATTTTGATTATGACATTCATTCTAGGCAAATTCAAAATATTAGCATGGTATTGTAGATCATGTGTCAAGTCGTTTTATGTAAGTCGTGCGTAATGATTTTTTTGTAGTTTGTTGAACGTTCATTGTGTTGCACTGTTGTGCAAAGGCTCATAGCATTTGAGAGAAATTATTCTATGAAAGATTTTGTGCCTCCTTTTCAAGATTCAAGTGTGCTCAAAACTCGTCATGTTATAAATATCAAATAGCGTAACATGCGTGGCGCACCATTTATCTTGAAGGATGCCATTTCGGTGGGCACTTCCGTTCCGAGACGTTTCATGCTTGGCGACTGTGTGGTACTTTTCCACCTCCCTGGACTTCTACTTTCTAAGGTTGAAAACGATCATATATTCAAGCTTCAATTCCAAGACAATAGTTGCAGTGCAGCCATACTGCCGCTTCAAAAAAAAAAAAAAAAAAAGCTATCACCAACTCCTTCAGAAAAATCTCTGATTTAACTTCCTAATAAAGAACAAAGCCGAGACGCTGCAGGTTCATTTCATAGCGTATCGTTTGGTGTCGTCACCTATTTGTAATGAAGTTATGAAGCCTCTCTGTCGAAATCAGCCTCTTTTGCATTCCGATTTTGACATTCGTTTTAGACACATTCCAACAAACCTATTGTGCTTACCAATACATGCCTCATCAACCCATCCATGCCTGATCAACCCATCCATGCATCATCAACCCATCCATGCCTCATCAACCCATCCATGCCTCATCAACCCATCCATGCCTCATCAACCCATCCATGCCTCATCAACCCATCCATGCCTCATCAACCGAATCATGCATCATTGACCTAATCATTCCTCCTTTCGTTTGTTAAGCCCCCTCGCCTTACTCATTGCAACCAAGTAGCACCTCCCCATCACACCACACCTCCACCAAAACACACACCTTGCCACCGCACCACACACACACCCTCTCCACGCCACGCCACCACACCACACCAGATCACACCGCACCGCACCGCACCACGCACCTCCTCTTCAAACATGGTGGCCACGTTGGATGATCGCTCCACAATAGCTGCCCGCTTGATCGCCACCTCCATGCCGCCGCCCACCACCACACGCACACCGCCGCCCACCTTGGGAGCACCGCCGCCCACCCTTGGGGCACTGCCGTCCACTGGAGCAACAGATGCAGTGTTCCTGCTGCCCTCACTCGCGTTGCTCTCCTTACTTGTCCCACTCCCTCCGCTCGTCCCACTCCCCCCGCTCGTCCCTCCCCCAGTCTTCCCAGTCCACCCGCTCGCCCCAATCGCCCTGCCCGGGCCGCTGCTTGCTGCTTTCTGACTGCTCTTCCACACCCCTGTGCTCCACCCACTCTGCTGCGAGCCGCCGATGACTCCCAAATAGACGGAGCCAAAGCCGCCCTTGCCGAGAAGGTTGTCGGGGCTCAGCTGGTTGGTCGCCTCCATCACCTCCCTCCACGTGTACCTCCTGAAACCCTGCTGTAGCTCCCTCTCCCACGCTGGAAAGTAGGGGGGGAGGAGGGGAGGGGGGTGAGGAGGGGGGTGGGAAGGGGGGAAGGATTTGGGGGGTGAGAGGGTGGGGGGAGATACAGATCCGGGGAGAACAGTGGGTGGGAGAGAGGAGGAGAGGATGGGGGAGCAGAGTTGGCGGGATGGAGGAGGAGAGGGAGATGCACTCCTTTGGAATATCTCTCGGCACAATGGTTCACACTTGTTGTTTTACCATGGTTAGTGCCAACGATATGCTGAGCAGCGCTCACACTCCCTCCCACCCCACTCTCACTCCCACTCTCACTCCCACCCCACTCCCACTCCCACTCCCTTCCACCCCATTCCCGCTCCCACCCCACTCCCATTCCCAACCCACTCATACTCCCACCCCACTCACCATTAACCTTTATTCACCATCGCACCCCACTCGCTCTGTACCCCACTCGCTCTGCTCTCCACTCACCTTTGCGGCTGCCGGGTCCCCAGTAGTAGTACCACACGTAGAGCAGAACAAGCAGCACCACCAGCAGCAGCACCACACTCCCCACCACCATGCCTGCTATGCCTGCTGGCGACAGCACTGGTGGGTGGGGATGGGGAGGGTGGGGTGGGGAGTGGCACTCAGTGACCGCAGTAGCTGTGGAGTCAAGCCAGGGAAAGTATATGTTGGCCGAATTAAGGGTGATAGGGAGAGGAATTGAGTGGTCATTACATAGAGACAGAAATGAGTGGCAAGATGGTTGTTCGAATAGGGCAGTGATGTAGAGAGGCTAGGAGGTGGTGAGACGAGGAAGCAGTTACAGACAGGATGGTGGTCGGCGGGGAGAGAGGGGGTTACGGGGTGGTTTGCATTGTTGGCAGAAGTCGCTGCAGACGTTGGAGCAGAAGGGCAGGTCGCTCTGAAGGGACCCGGGGCAACAGGAGTCGGTGGGGCGCGTGGGGCAGCGCAGCTTGGTGCCCAGGAGGGAGCTGGTGGGGGTGGGAGGGATTGGGGGGTTGGGGGTGGGGGGGAGATTGGTGGACTGATGGTGGGAACTGGGGCAGCATAGCTTGGTGCACAGGAGGGAGCTGGTGGGGGTGGGAGGGGAGGAGCGGAGAGGAGGGAGATATAGAGGGCGTGGGGGAGAGAATGATAGATGGATGGTGAGTACTGGGGCAGCTGGCAGGGCATGTGGGGCAGCGAAGCCTGGTGCCCAGGAGGGAGCTGATGTGGGTGGAAGGGGGGAGTGGAGAGGAGGGAGGTGAAAGGGGTAACGGTGGCGTGGGGAAGCGGGGGGGGAGAAGAATGGTGTATGGATGGTGGGTATTGGGGCAACAGGAGTCGGTGGAGAGAGGGCAGCGGGAATGGGCCAGGGAGGAGTAAGGCATACAGAGTAGAGTACCAAGGGACTGAACGGCGGCTCAGCAAGGCAACAAGAAAAAGTGCAGGAGAGAAGGAGGGGAGAGAGCACGGAGAAAAGTGTGCCGAGGTGAGGGGAAGGGGACGCAGGAGTGCAGGAGTGGAAGGGGGCGCAGGAGTGCAGGAGGGGAGGGGGGCGTACAGAATGCCGAGGGACTGAATGGTGGCCCAGCAGGGCGGCAGCTTTCCCTCCAGCCACGGGTTGTGATAGGCCGAGCTGCATGGGGGTTGTGCAGGGGGAGGGGAGGGCAGGCAGGCAGGCAGGTGGGGGAGGAATGGAAGGCAAAGAGGCAGGCAGAGTGAGACAAGGAAGAACAAAACAAGAGGTGGGGAGAATTTTGGAGTGTGAAAGGCAGGAGGGCAGAGGCAGGGAGAGAGGAAGGGGGGGATGGAAAGGCAGGAGGAAAGACAGAGTGTAAATAGAAAAGCAGACAATAAACATTGAGGCTCATGGTTCGTTGAGCATCAGGCTGGCCTATACGGCTTAGTTGGCATTTTACGTTTACGGTGGTTTACGTGTACGTGACTTTACGTAGTAAACTTGCGTTTACTTACGTGGGCCCAAAACGGCTTTACATTTACGGTCAGCCAGAAACATTTCTGGCTGCCCGGAAAGATAAGAATTCATCGCACTAAGTGGCTGCATGGGAAGCGCCTAATCAATCACTAGCTTGGTTCTCTATGCCCAAGCATGTTAGCACATTATTACATCAACTTACAGATGCCCCAAATCTACACGGACATGTCACAGCGTCTCCCACCTCATATAAGTCATTTTTTTTCCATTTCGCAGCCAAAGAAACTTTTTTTGCCCTGCCCGTGCGACTTTACGTAAAATTACGCGTAAGAAAACGTAAAGGTAAACTCAAGCGTAAGTTTACGTTTACGTGACCCTAAAAAACGTCAAGTACCAACTAAGCTATACGGTAAGGGCATGAATAAGAGGAGCAATGGGTATGCTGAACAAGCGCTGGTTAAGTTGGTGCAATGGTTACAGTTGGTGCAATGGTTAAAGTTGGTGCAATGTTTAAAGTTGGTGCATTGGTTACAGTTGGTGCAATGGTTAAAGTTGGTGCAATGGTAAAAGTTGGTGCAATGGTAAAAGTTGGTGCAATGGTTACAGTTGGTGCAATGGTTACAGTTGGTGCAATGGTTACAGTTGTTGCAATGGTTACAGTTGGTGCAATGGTTACAGTTGTTGCGATGGTTACAGTTGTAGCGATGGTTACAGTTGGTGCAATGGTTACAGTTGGTGCAATGTTTACAGTTGGTGCAATGGTTAAAGTTGGGGCAATGGTTACAGTTGGTGCAATGGTTACAGTTGTTGCGATGGTTACAGTTGTAGCGATGGTTGCAGTTGGTGTAATGGTTACAGTTGTTGCGATGGTTACAGTTGCTGCGATGGTTGCAGTTGCTGCGATGGCTACAGTTGCTGCGATGGCTAGAGTTTGTGAGATGATTACAGTTGGCGAGATGGTTACAGTTGGCGAGATGGTTTCATTTGGCGAGATGGTTACAGTTCACTGGGGTTAATGAAATGGGATGGTTACAATTCAATGAGGTTGGATAGATAAACAAATCGTTACAATTCAATGAGGTTGGATAGATGAATGAAATTGTTACAATTCAATGAGGTTGAATAGATGAATGAAATTGTTACAATTCAGTGAGGTTGGATAGATGAATGAAATTATTACAATTCAATGAGGTTGGATAGATGAATAAAATTGGTACAATTCAATGAGGTTGGATAGATGGAATAAAATTGTTACAAATCAATGAGGTTGGATATATGAATAAAATGGTTACAATTCAATGAGGTTGGATAGATGAAAAAATTTGGTACAATTCAATGAGGTTGGATAGATGGAATAAAATTGTTACAATTCCATGAGGCTGGATAGATGAAAAAAAATGTTACAAATCAATGAGGTTGGATAGATGAAAAAAAAAGTTACAATTCAATGAGGTTGGATAGATGAATGAAATTGTTACAATTCAATGAGGTTGGTGAGGTACCCCAGCGAGGCAGGAAGGTTCCCTGAGATATTGTTGCGACTCAAATGGCTGGCAGGAGGGCACGGGGACGGCAGTGCGTGAGCGGAACGGGGGAAGAAAGAGACAGGGGACGAAGGGTGAAGAGAAGAGGCTGGACGGGTGGGGAGATGAGTGGACGATGGAGGGAAGCGAGCCATGAAAACAATAATGTGCGCGTGTAGCAAGGAGGAACAAGTTGACGCAGTTGGGTTGCACTGCTGCACACTCACAAGTGCTGCAGACTCACAAGTGCTGCAGACTCACAAGTGCTGCAGACTCACAAGTGCTGCAGACTCACAAGTGCTGCAGACTCACAAGTGCTGCAGACTCACAAGTGCTGCAGACTCACAAGTGCTGCAGACTCACAAGTGCTGCAGACTCACAAGTGCTGCAGACTCACAAGTGCTGCAGACTCACAAGTACTGCAGACTCACAAGTGCTGCAGACTCACAAGTGCTGCAGACTCACAGGCGCCACACACTCACAAGTACTGCAGGCTTTTCATGTTGCCCCATGAGTCAGGGATGGGACCTGACAGACCCATCTCTGCCAGATGCCTGAGAGGGGGGCGGATGAGAGGGTGAGAGGGCGAGAGGACGGGGAGGGGGGAAGGGTGAGTGGGTGAGAGGGCTAGAGGACGGGGAGGGGGGAAGGGTGAGTGGGTGAGAGGGATAGAGGACGGGGAGGGGGGAAGGGTGAGAGGGTGAGAGGGCGAGAGGGTGGGAGGGGGGGGGGGGAGGGTGAGAGGGTGAGAGGGCGAGAGGGCGGGGGGGAAGAAGGGTGAGAGGGTGAGAGGGCGAGAGGGCGGGGAGGGGAGAAAGGTGAGAGGGTGAGAGGGCGAGAGGGCGGGAGGAGGGGGGGAAGTAGGGTGAGAGGGTGAGAGGGCGAGAGGGCGGGGGGGGGGGGAAGTAGGGTGAGAGGGTGAGAGGGCGAGAGGGAAGGGGGGAGGAGGGTGAGAGGGTGGGAGGAGGGTGAAAGGGAGGGGGCGAGGAGAGTGAGAGGGCGAGATGGTGAGAGGAAGGGAGGAAGGAGGGGGGATGAGAGGTGAGTGAGGCAGTTGGAGTGCATCGTGAGGCATGGGAGGCATGGGAGGCATGGGAGGCATGAAGAGAGGATGCAGGAAGCAAATAGCAGGACGATGCTAGAGAGGGGCATGCGATGAGTGCAGGGCGAGGGGAAGCATCAGAGCTGCAAGTGTATGTCTGAGTAAACATAGAGCACACGCCAGTGCAAGTCGAAGTAAACCTAACCAGCAGAGGCGCCAAGCAAGGGGCCATGCCGCAAGAGTAGCATGGAGTGTAGCTCCTACGTGAGTGAGACAAGCCCACGCGTGGCATGCGTGAGGCGGAGGCTTACAGGTGGGTGAGGAGGCGTACAGGTGGGTGAGGAGGCGTACAGGTGGGTGAGGAAGCGTACAGGTGGGTGAGGAGGCGTACAGGTGGGTGAGGAAGCGTACAGGTGGGTGAGGAGGCGTACAGGTGGGTGAGGAGGCGTACAGGTGGGTGAGGAGGCGTACAGGTGAGTGAGGACGCGTACAGGTGGGTGAGGAGGCGTACAGGTGGGTGAGGAGGCGTACAGGTGGGTGAGGAGGCGTACAGGTGAGTGAGGACGCGTACAGGTGGGT